CCCATTTGATAACCATTTTGCATTTAGTTTTTGGTTTTCACTTTTTGTGCTTGGGATATGAGGAAAGTATATGGGGGAAAGGTGGGATGAAGAGGGGTGATGCGAGTTTATTTTCCAAATTCTTTTTTCCAAATTCTAAATTTCTATGCTATGAATCCAAAATGAGGGAATTGGGGCACGTTAATTTATAAATTTTGACTTTTGTCCAAATTCCAAGTTTATTTTTCTCATCCAAACAGACGAGGGTAAGTGAAAAGAACTGAAAGTAGTTTTTATTTATTTATTTATTTTTATTTTTGTAATTTTCATTTTGTATATATACCTCTTCTATATCTGTCTCACCATCTTTCCTCCACCCTTCTATATACGTCACTTATCCCATGTATTTCCCCTTTTCTCTCAAACAAAAAAAAAAATAAAAAATTGAAAACTAAAAACTATTAACGAAATGATTATCAAACGGGATCTAAATTGTTTAATTGTCCTTAAATATGCATAATATAGCATCAGTTGGCGTCTGGTTGGAAATTTTCCGCTTCATCATTTTTGACATGAAGATAGTTGTCCTAATCTATGGCGTTCCTCCCCAGGTCCGAGTTCAATCAGATCCAGCTGGACGTCTTGTTATAACAGGTCAACCAGAGCAGATTGACAATCCTTGGGGTATTACACCATTTAAGAAGGTATCTAATCTTCCTATTAGCTTCTATGGTTCGTGCTTGGCTCAGAAATAAATATATATTACCTGTGGGAACCCAAGGAACCCAAAAACCCAAAGATTGTTCATCCATATTTCCAAATTAGCGGAAAAGATGAAAACAATGAAGGGAAGAAAAAAACACGGTATTGAATGGGGGATGTCATTGGCAATCCAAATAGTCATCATGGACTCCTTTCTAATAGAAATCAATGGAGGGAGAGGTGCATGATGACAATTTTGGAGTGCTAATAACAATGCTGAACTGAATAACAAGGGCTTTATGGCTATGAAATGGGTAACTTTATGAGATTTTCACAGTTTAGTTGGTATAAGAAACTTATACCTAAAATATGTTATCCGTCGATTATCTATGTACAGAGGATGAAGTTATCATACAAGTTATTGTAAACAACATGTTTTATAGATGCATATGGTAATATGTAAATACTTGCAGACACATATGTGCAATCTTTGTACAATAATGATGATGTCATGCTTTCTTAAGCTATGGACATCCCTGCAAAAGATAATAATCATCCAAATCCGAAACTGTTTGGTGAACTTGTAGTTCAAGCTGAAAAATTATCATAAATTGTTGATCCAAGAATAGGATTCAAATCCTTTCCCAATCTTGCTCTGGTTACCCAAAGTGCGGTGCAGGTTGGATCTGTCTCAGGTTGTTTGGGTTTGTCCGAACCAATGCCAGCTCCCACGATAATCTATTTTGGACCAAAGCTTTGATTTCTGGGTTTTAAATAAATCCTATCTAGTATCTACCATGAGTGAATGCTTTGATTTAACAATTTATTACAAGTTTTGATATCTATTTTGATTACAGTTACAAATGCAGTTTATGTTGCGTTTTACAGGTTGTGAGCTTACCTGGAAAAATTGATCCCCTTCAAACATCTGCTGTAGTTAGCCTGCATGGGCGGTTATTCGTGCGTGTTCCTTTTGAACAGTGATGGGGTTTGAAATTTCATCGCATGTCGTGGATCAGTTGAATAATTTTTTAGGGTGTTGCAATATTATTGTTCTTGTTTTTTTTTTTTTTTTTTTTTTGGAAAAATATTATTGTTCTTGTTTTTCTTCTTTTTGGGGCTGTGAAAGAATGTTGCAACTAGTTCAGTTGGTGTTAATGCATGCTAGTTTATCAACTTGATTTACTTCCGATTTTAGGTTTAGTTCAATTTTTTTTTAATATTTTAAAATAACTAAAGTTGCGTGGGTTGAACTTGAAGCCGACACGTTTAGTGGTCTATGTCGACATAAAGAACCAACTAAGACCTTTCAAAGACTATTATTAAATGTAGCCCTCCTCCTAGTCCTTTATTTTGGGGGTTTAGCTTTTCAGTTACAATAACTGATTCAAATTCAATGGTTAAATTTGAAAACATTCAAAGGTGGTTTAATTAACTAATAAATTTAAAGTATAAACTTAAAAATAATAAGTTATTGAGGAACTACGTATAATCCCTTCGGATGAAGATAATATATAAGTATGGGTTGACATTGTTTATTTAAAATAACTAAAGAACCAACTAGACCTTCAAAGACTATTGTCAAATGTAGCCCTCCTTTTAGCTATTTTTTTTTGGAGTTCAGCTTTTCAATTATAATAATTGATTCAAATTCAATGGTTAAATTTGAAAACATTCAAATGTTGTTTAATTAACTAATAAATTTAAAGTATAAACTTAAAAATAATAAATTATTAAGAAACTACGTTTAACCCCTTCAGATGAAGATAATATATAAATATGGGCTGACACTGTTTATTGCATCTCACATCTCAGGCTGCTTTATTTGTTTTTCAATCTGAATAGCATGGGCCAGTCCACCGCGTTTATTGGGTAGACTGATTCGATTCAAGTACGACTCAAGCCCGTATGTGAAGAATTTACATGGTAATGTTCATGCACCCATGCCATCCATGAACATGCATGAATCATAGGCATTTGTTGTACATATGTCATATGTATAAAGAAAAAGGCATGGAAATATGACAAGCATTATATTAATATTATTATGTTTGAAGAAGAAACTGATGAGAGAAAAATTAAATTGCTCTCAGATTTCTTGCATGTAGCATGTATGTAGTGGTATAAAACCAGAAGATTATTACTATTTTCTTGAAATGTTGCAAAGTCTCAGAACTTGAAAGTAATTACTTTAAGCAATCGAAAAAGAAACAAAATGAAAACAAGGCGGGATAAATGTGTTTGTTCAACAAGCAATATGGTAGTCTACTAAGTCTAGCTAGGGTTCTCCCTTGAAAATATATATGCATATTAAATTCTTTACCATTTGAGAGACTTTGATACAACAAACAACATGCAAACAACTGATATTGTTTTCCTTTTTCATACTAGACCACTAGAAAAGTTTACACTCAGCCAAAAAATATGTTTCCCGGTAACGAATTCGCTTCCATATGGCTGACCGGTGCTTACTAACAATTGGATGTTATGCTCACTTGTTTTCATTAATGAACGAATATGAAAAATTCTCTAATTAAATTTCTAATTACTAGCAAAACATTCTTGGAGATGACAATGCACTCGAAAATTTGAACCCAAATCTTATATTTGAGTCTCATATGAGTCTAAGGTTCTCCAATGCAATTGTGACTTAAAATTGACGCCCAAATTTGGGTTTCAATATGAGATTTGAGTCAAAAGTGGAGACCATGCCACTTAGGTCATCTCCAACTGAAGGAGGGCCAGATGACTCTCTTTAGCCCTATAGCCCTCAAAGAAATTATATTTTAATGAATAATGCTAGCTCATATTTTATACCATCTTCAACCGAAGGGGTCAAAGGGCCATAGGCCAAACATAACCCTGTGACAAAAAAACCATCTCAAACCGAGAGGGCCAAAAGGCTATAGGCCAAACATAATTTATTATTTTAATTGAATTAATATAATTATATCAAACTACCATATTAAAATAAGATTTTCGAACATATTGGAAGATTATTGAAAGAGGTGGCCATTTGAAAATTATTGAAAAAAATTAAAGGAAAGATTATTGGAAGAGAAGAGAATGTGAAGAATTGAAATAAAATGAGGTAAGATAGTATGGAATGGTGAAAAGTATGTGAGAAATGGTGTAGGAAAAAAATTCCTCCAAAAAAATAAAAACGGCTGGGCTCATCAGGCTGGATGGAGATGGCCAGCTTGCTGGCCTGATTTGGTGGTTTTGGCCCGGTGGGACCCATAATCCCTTTGGCCTAGCCCTCGGTTAGAGACAATTTTCATGTCATTTTGAGCTATTTTTAGCCCTATGACCCTCTGGCCGGATCGGTTGGAGATGACCTTAGGAAAGCTGTTATTCAACCAAGAAAAATGAGAATTGAGTCCAATTATGAAAACTCAAATATGAAGTTTGAGTATAAATTTTTTTCCTCCAGTGCAAACCCCAAACGAGTTGTAAGATTTGAATCTTGGCATTGGAGAAGAAAACCAAACTACATAATTCACCACCTTTTTGTGACCCAACTATTTTAGTCTTTGCATTGGAGATGCTCTTACTAGGACCTCAAGTTACGCACAATCCTAAGGTGGGATGAGAGACGGATGTTTATATGGTGCAGCTAGCAAAGCATCTCTAAGCGTACTGTATTTACGTTTTATAGTCTCTATTGCTGTAACGTTTTGGTCAGTTAACCGAAATTTGAAGAGATCTGGAGATGCTTTTGGCCTCGTTTCTCGAACTCAGTTTCTAATTCTAGGGTTTTGCTTTTTTCCGTTTCTGTAAGGGAAGACTGAAAGAGGCTTTTGAAGGTGCTTAAATACTTTGGCTATATATCTTGTGTCAGTGTAACCGTAAAATCAACTCTAGGAATCAAAAAAGAAAGAGAGAGAACTCATGGAACACAAAGATCTTGTAAGTGAGAAGCTACCTGCCAAGTACAGGAATAAAATAGATATTATATGAATAAATGTGTTTTTGTGTTAACTCAAATTAAGATACAAATATCCAGATTAATAAGGATTAGTAAGTTTTGTTTTTTTTGGGGAACAAGGATTAGTAAGTTTGTGCGCATGATATGCTACTGAAAGTTAATTAGAAATCCAGAAGCAGAAATTTAATTTATATTCAATCAAGAAAAATAATAATGTACTAGTACTGCCGGAGAAGGATGGATATCATATTAGAACCACAATAATAAACCCTAGAAATGTGCATCGATCATCACAGTACAATTAACTAACATTTTTGAAATTAATAAACTAGCTAGTATATATAATTATAATTATAACAGAGGATTAAATCAATTGCTAGCTAGGTAGAGATTGAAGAAAGTAGCAATTGATTAATTTTACTGACCTTGCAAAGTTTGTTTGTTTTACATCGACAGTACTGATCAACACCAAGCTAGCTAGCTAGCCCTTCATCGACATTGGCAACTTTAGGCTCAAGATATATGATCAAGATCATCGTTCTTTCGTTTGTAGATGTGCATATTTATATATGAACACGAAAGCGTCTGAAGTTATCACCGTACATATCTCATAAAATCATTCCATAATTAGCACCACAGTAGTACTAGTACTAGAACGGAGGCCGCGGAGTACTTCCACTTCCACTTCCACCACCCCATCCGAAGAAGTCACTCCCCGGGAAGGGATAGTTGGCCGCCATATTTCCTCCCAAATTAAAAAGCCCAGCACCTCCACCTCCACCTCCACCTCCGCCGCTACTTCCCGCAGTACCATCACCAAGACCACCAGACACCCCAGAAGATTGGGACCCCGTGGGTTGATGGATTTGCAAGCTGCCTCCGCCACCACCACCAGTAGGAGTAGTAGTTCCCTCTTCCGGATCATCCAATGGCAATCTCTCAAACACCGCATTTGCAAAAGACGCAGCCATCAAAACCACAGGCCCGGAAGCCATCAGCGGTCCCACCACGTTTCCTCCCACCACTTGTCCCTGCCCCCCGGACAAGAATATGGAGAGTCCGCCAGCACCGGGAGGAGCCGGAGGCGGAAGCACCGTACCGGAGAGCGATAGTAACTCGAAGCGTCCGTGAAGAGTCACCACGCTTCCCGGAGGAGCAGCTGGCTGACGCAGGGTGACGTTGGTGACAGTGCCGCTGCCGCTGAGCACGCAGACGCCTCTGCCCCTGCGCCTGGCGTAGATGGAGACGCTGTCCATGATGTCGGCCCCATCGGAGACCTCAAGGACGTGGGAGCGGAGGGCGTTGGGGCTGTCGCGTGTGACGATGATGGGAGGCTTGGGTTTGTTCTTGGAGCCTGCAGGACGGCCTCTGGGACGGCGGGTGGAACCACCAGTTCCACCTCCGCCTCCACCGCCACCAGAACTGGTTGCGGCGGTATCGGAAGATTCGATCTTGGTAATATTGTGGTCTTGGTCGTCGTCCTGGTCATCATCATCATCTTGTTCTTCTTGTTGATGATGATGATGTTGTTGTTGTTGTTGTAGAGGAATAATAGGATGGTGATGGAGTTGTTGGAGTTGGAGGTGGAGTTGGGGCCTGAAAAGCGGGTGGACATAGGGAGAAGCAGTTGAAGTTGGGGCTGATGAGGCGGCGGAGACTGAGGTCGACTCATTTATGTTGTACCCTGCCATCGCATTCTCCCACCACTTACTATTATTTGCCAGAGCTTCCTTTCCTTTTCACTGATGAAATTACTTGACTAGATCCAGCGGATGTTCACAATACATAAAAGAGAGTCAGAGAGAGTGGGTAGTCAAATATACCTCGATCGGTTACTCTTAGAAACCTAGCAGTTAAATTGTTACCTTCAACTAGATGAGTGGTTTAGGCTGTTTTTGCACAGTCTTCTGTACTATAGTCAACGTCAGGCAGCCAGCCAACAGTTACAGTTGCAGTTACATACAAATATACGAGTCAACTGCTGCATCCCCAGAAAAACTGACGATATTCAATTCCCAATCCCAGATAAAGCTAGCTTGTCAGTTAAGCTTATATCTAGCTTAATTAGCAAGTTACAACAAAATTACAAGCCGCCAAAGATCCAAAGCTCTAGTGAGACTCGACTGCTGCTGTAACGTTGCTGTCTGTGTCTCCTGGGGGATCAAATATCAATCATGGATGATCGATCAGGTCTTCAAACAAATAAAAGGGATCCGAGTGATATGCCACGATCAAGCTTGAGCTGTGGACTACTCGTGTGACCAGAAAACCCACGCGCTTCCGGCGATTCCGATCAGTTTCTGAAATGAACTTGCAAATTTGGAGCTCCTCGATCTGTGAATATCATATATGAATATGAAAATGGGGGAGTGTGAGAGAGAAGAGAGAAAGATACGAGAGTTTTGAGGAGTTGGTGGAAAAGCGTCTGCCCAAAGCACAATTCAAGCAATTACCAAGACAAAAACAAAAGACCATCGCATTGCATTGGAGGAATTTTTTAATGTGCTGGAAACACAACTTGTACATCAAGTGTTATAGTATAAGTGGTTAAAATTTTTTTAAGTATTCAACCATTTGTGTTATAACATTTATATTATATATATATATATATATAAATTTATATTATGACATTTAATGTAGCAAATCATGTTCTCATCTCATTGAAAAATTTCTCATTACATTGCATCACGCACACTTTACCCCATCTACTTTTCCAACCAAATGCTAAGTTCCAGTTTTTGTTTTATAGTGTGATTAATTGTTAGAATATGAGCATAAGTGTACTTATGTGTATTTTGGCCGGATGTTTGAGTTCAAATTGATTTTAGAGAAGTCTTATTAGAAGATGTTTGGATGTTCTACTACTATGACACAATGTGATTATCGAGGGTCAATTGCCGTTGGAAAAAACATTTTATTATCGGAAAAACCTTTTTCCGAGAGGAAAAAACTCTTGTTGGTCCTCGTAAATGCTTCCAATGGAAATACATCTATTTCTATCAGTGATAGGAAATACATCAATACTTTCAACATACATCACCCATTGTTAATAGTTAACTTTTCGTTGAAATTGAAGTTTAGAAAATGACCAAATTATTTCATTTTCTATTTGTCAACGTCGTCGCAAATACTTTCTTTACTGTTGGAAATATTATTAGTGAGGGCAATGCTTTGTAAAAAATTGGGCATTTTCGGCATAAAAATGTTGGAAAAAAAAAAATCAAATTCCATCATAAAAAAGAAAGAAGTGTTGCAGTCGTATTTAGAATAGGAATGTAATTGTGTAAATCTTAGTAGATCTAGGAATATCTCTTATATTCCTATTAGGAGTTGATTACCTATTAAGAATTGTAATCCTAAAAAGGTAAGGATTTTACCTATCCTACCATAATAAATAAAGGCACAATGGGGTGATACAACACACACCTCACAATTAAATCTCTCTTTTCTCTCTCTTGCTATTGCCGGCCTCCTATCTCTTTATTCCTTAGATAGCTCAATTAGACCTACAACACGTTATCAGCATGCTCTTACCAGAAGCTGAGGAATTGACGGATCGTAGGAGGAGGCTATCTTCCACAAAATTCAAAGGCTCTTATTTGTTTTCTGCCAACCAGGTACGCTTAAAATAAAGGAAAATATTTGAAACGTCCATGAAGCATGAAAACATTCCCCATGATACATGAACCCTTCTATGTTTATATTTTCCTTATGATATATATATATATATATATATATATATATATGTTTCATGCATTACGCAATTAAATTGCTATGTGGAATTGTGAGTCAAAGAATATTAATAAATTAGAAGCATGCTAGGGTTTTTCAAACCCTAGTGAATTCGAAAAAGAGAAAGGAAATTGGGATTTTTATGGTAGCACCGTCATGACACCACCACAAGGACCATCGCGCTGGCCTGAAGCCCAGACGCGTGGAAACCCCCTTGAGACGACATCATTTGACGTCTTGGACCTTTGCCGAAGCCTTTGGGCTTCACTACATACTGTGGACAACTAGGATGTATGCCTGGTTTGGTTTCTTACCATGGGCTTATATCCTCGACCCACACCAGTTGTGATGTTGGGCTTAGCCCTTGCCATGACCCGTGTTTCTATCAGCCAGTCCACAGGGCTGGGCTTAGTCTCTGTTACCCAAAACCGAAACCTACCTATGACTGGGGTTACCTCGCACACCTGCAAGCCTCTGGGCTTGCTCTTGCACGTTGGTATTTACCCAACCATGCCAGCAGCTTGCTGTTTGGCTTCCTGTCTCTCAGCCTGTGGGCTGCAACCACATGTGAGCTGCTTTTGTAGCCTTAACCTCGAGCCTAAAAGCCTCTAGGGCATTGCCTTACTCACGAAACCCAACCCAAATACCATTGGGCTATGGTTTTTCGAACCCAATGCTAATTTTTGGCATTATTTTGCTTCCACGATCGACCCTGTATGATCCCGATCTATTGAATTAATTAAATGTGACATGCATTCCATTAATCTGATAATGAAATCCAAAATTATTGACCTGAAGATCACTTTTGGACACTATCGATTCAATAATTACCGTTGACATACTTTCGTAATAACGAAGCTCTCACACTTGAGTTCCTGAAGAAACTCAAATCCACTACACTTAAATTAGCATATTGCATTATGTGTTTCTTGCAGGAACCTTTCCTTTATGAACTAATCGTTCATAAAACTAAATTGAACCTGTAATTTCATATTTAGTGCCCTTGAAACCTGAAGTTTTCATTCAAAACTTACCACATGAAACTTGTAACTTTCATGCATAAATTAAACCGATACATATCTATAGAACCCGAATGTTCTACGATGTATGTTTATGGACATTGAACTTGAACAAGATCAATTTCACCACTCTGGAAGTCTCTGGAAGAAACTACCTGAAGTGGGTTTAAGATGTGAAGCTCCATCTCATCTCAAAGGGCATTAGAGCCACCATCGAGGCACCTACTAACGAAAAACATGTCGATGAAGCTCAGAAAGCTACTGCAATGATCTTCATTTGAAGACACATCCATGATGCTTTGCAAATTAAGTACCTCGCTAAGGAGGACCCACGCACCCTTTGGCTTGCTTTGGCCGACCGTTTTGATCATCAGAAAGGCATATACTTGCCTTAAGCAAGGCACGATTGGCAACATCTTTGCTTTCAAGACTTTAAGTTCGTGAATGAATATAACTCTGAAGTTTGTAGAATCCGACCACTGCTGAAGTTCTATAAAATGGAACTAACTGAATCAGATCTCCTGGAGAAGACCTATTCGACCTTCTATGCCACCAATATTGTCATGCAGCAACAATATAGGGCACATAAATTCACCAAAATTTTGGATTTGATCTCTGTATTACCTCTCGCTGAAAGGCAGAACCAGCTTTTGATGAAGAATTATCAAGGTCGACCGACTGGCTCAAACGTTGCGCCTGAAGCGTATGTGACCAATTCTAGTAGCCACAAACGACACAAGAATTGCCGTGGCAATGGGCGGTAAGCCCCACCATAGACCCAAGGTCCACAGAATCAAGGCCTACCTAAGGGAGGAAATATGATCCAGCATCATCCACCCCTTGCCTCTAAGGCCCCGAACTTCAAGAACAAGGGAAAAGCTACTGTTCAACCGGTTTCCACTGAAATAGACATATGTTATTGCTGTGGATCAAAGGATCAGCGGTTATACGTATGCTAAGCTAACCCAGAGGCTATTGCCAAGTATCATTCCTGTCGCGAGTCTAACTTTACACATGTGGAACATCTGGAATATGCTACTACATCAATGAAGATATCGGATTTTCAGGAGGCGTTAGCTTCTATGGACGAATAAATTAGACATGTTTTTAGGGCATTTACCCCTAGTGGCCAAACCCACTAGGAGTGCCCAGCCCCTCTCCCCTATTTTTTTAGATTTATGGTTTAATTTTGAACAATTTTTTTTAAGTATTTGGAATAATTTGTTTGGTTTTGGTTTGTTTTGAATTATGGATTGTTATTTGATGGATATTATTTCTCGAATTGCTTAATTGAATGAATGAAATTATATTTATGCATATGACCAATTCAATCAATTTATTTCTAGGTATGTCTAGTGGGGAAGTTAGTTGTCTGGTTGATAGTGCTACCACGCACAACATCTTGCGTAAGCGACATTATTTTACTAACTTTACACCCAAGAAAGCACCTCTGACAACTTTTTCAGGCCCATCCAACCTGATTGAAGGATACGGAAAGGCCCATATCATGTTGTCCAATGGTATAGTCTTAACCATTAAAGAGACACTTTATTCTCCACGTTCCGGAAGAACGTTGCTGAGTTTTAGAGATATTCGAGATAATCAATATCATATTGAAACCACTGAAGATAATGGTTCTGAATTTCTTTGTATCACTTCGTACGAATATGGCTAGAAACATATTCATAATAAGTTGGAACGTCTCCCAAGGGGGTTGTACATTATAACCATTCGTGTCATAGAAGCCCACCATATGGCCAGCCATACGCCTGAGTTTCAGAATACTTTGCTGTTTTGGCATGACCTTTTGGGACATCCTGGACGTGACATGATGCACCGTATCGTCAAAACATCTCGTGGGCATCGATTACCTCCCTATGTTGGATTCCCACCATGCAAAACGTGTTCTTTAGGGAAGTTGAATACTCAACCCTTGATTACAAAGATTATTCACAACCCTTTAATTTTCTTCAAAGGATTTAAGGGGATATTTGTGGACATATCTAACCAACATGCGAACCATTTAGATACTTTATGGTGTTGGTTGATGTATCGACAGATGGCCACATGTTTGCCTGTTGTCCACACGCAACACTGCATTTGCGAAACTCCTAGCACAAATTATTAAGCTAAGGGCTCACCACTCTGATTATCCAATCAAGTTGATTCGACTGGATAATGCTGGAGAGTTTATGTCATAGACTTTTGACGATTATTGCATGTCAGTAGGGATTGATGTGGAACATCCTGTACCCCATGTTCACACCAAAAACGACCTGGCAGAAGCTTTCATAAAGCAATTTCAATTGATAACTCAGACTTTGGTTATGAGAACTAAATTGCCGGTATATGCTTAGGGCTATGCAATATTGCACACAACTATGCTGGTCCACATGAGGCCCACCGCTACCCAACCTCATTCACAGTTAAGTTGGTTACTAGATACGAGCCTGGCGTCTCACATTTACAGGTGTTTAGGTGTGCAATTTATGAGCCAATAGCGCCGGCACTACGTACCAAAATGGGTCCTCATAGAAAAATGGGAATATATGTCGGTTATGATTTGCCATCAATTTTTTACTATTTAGAACCCTTGACAAGAGATTTCTTTACCACATGTTTTGCGAATTGTCACTTTGATGAGACAGTCTTCCAGTTGTTAGAGGGAGATAAGCATGCTAACGTTCTTGGAGAACG